TTTAGGGGTTTAGGGTTTAGTGTTGACGGGTTTAGGGTTTAGTGTTGAGGGGTTTAGGGTTTAGTGTTGAGGAGTTTAGGGTTTAGGGTTTAGTGTTGAGGGGTTTAGGGTTTAGGGTTTAGTGTGTAGGGGTTTTATGGGTTTAGGGTTTAGCGTTTAGGGGTTTAGGGTTTAGTGTTGAGGGGTTTAGGGGTTTAGGGTTTAGTGTTTAGGTGTTTAGGGTTTAGTGTTGAGGGGTTTAGGGTTTAGGGGTTTAGGGTTTAGTGTTGAGGGGTTTAGGGTTTAGGGTTTAGTGTTGAGGGGTTTAGGGTTTAGGGTTTAGTGTTGAAGGGTTTAGGGTTTAGTGTTGAGGGCTTAGGGTTTAGGCTCAGGGGTTTCCTCCAAAGCTTCTTTGAAGGTTCCTCTGAGGGCCAGTACAAGCTACCAGGAGGGACTACTATATCTAAGGTTGAACCCATGGGCCCCTAGTATGGGCCCTTAAACCTGGCATCCTTATATACCTACTATATACCCTATATGTACCCTTAAGAGTCCCTAGAAAGCCTTAAGGGTCCATATTAGGGGCCCATACTTCTAATCTCAGACTATAAGTACTATAACGCCTACTTTGAAGGGCTCCTACTTCGGTTAAAATAACGAATTACTATGAGGGATTCTGCAAGAGCTGAGGGTTCTATGAGAGTTCGATCTTGTGTTCAGTTTAGGGTTTAGGGATGAATGCCTGAGCGAAACGATGCAGGGCCGAAATCCGCACACTCTGAGCCGGCAAAGCACTAAATCAAGAAGTCCAGAATTCAGGATTTCTGTCTGGGTGCAGCAAGTAATTGGCTCCGAATGTAGACCGTAGGATCCGTATCAGTAGCACAAGAATCCCCCAACAAGCGAGACACGAACTCTCTGATTCAAGAACTCCTTTTACACCCCTACAAACGCCTACAAAACCTTAGAAAAACCTGTTAATCCGCACCGGAGACCTCAAACCCTAAGCCCTTAACCCTAAACCGGGTGTAGGGTTTTTAGGGTTTAGGATTTAAAGAGTTTAGTCCTGAGGATGGTTTAGAGTTTACGTCTTAGGGTGTGGGGTTTAGGGCTTTGCTTGGAGGTTCATGGGTCGTTATCAAAATAGCACTTTCCAACACCTCGACACGGTAACATCATGTAGGGGCCTAAATAAATACCTATACTATTTGGGGGGGCCTTATTATAATCATAGGTCAATGGGCCCCAAAACCCTGTTCTAATTTATTAAGGCCCCTAGATTAGCACTGAAGCGACTGTCGCCCAGCGACTGAAGCAGGTCATAGACATAGACGCCTTCAAGCGGCAATTCGTTGAAGTTGCGGTGTCGGCTTTTTGCCGCTTCGAGCTCTTTGGGGTTTTACGGGATTGACGGTGCTCGGGTTCCGAGAGGGTTTAGGGTTTAAGGTTTAAAATTTAGGGTTTAGGGACTAAGGGGGCCTTGAGGTTTAAGCCTCCAAGTAGGCCTTACGGAAACTTACGTTTAAGGCTTTTGGGGTTTCGGGCCCCAGGGTTTGACAGAGCCATCGCAGGCTTCAGCTTCGCGAGAGCTAAGAGCTTCTCCCAGAGAGCCCAATACCCTTTAATGAAGGAATATACCTTAAATCAAAACCTAAACCCTAAACCCTAAACCCTAAACCCTAAACCCTAAACCCTAAACTTTATTAAATCATAATATGAAGGCCCCCGACAATTTCAGGTATATTCCTTATTCAAAGGGGATCGGGCTCTCTGGGCTATGCCTCGGACTAACCTGGGCCTGAATGGTTCATCAAAGCGTTTTGGGGAAGGTCTTAGGGTGTTTAGGGTTTAGGGTGTTTAGGGTTTAGGGTGTTTAGGGTGTTTAGGGTGTTTAGGGTGTTTAGGGTGTTTAGGGTGTTTAGGGTGTTTAGGGTGTTTGGGGAAGGGTTTAGGGTGTTTAGGGTTTAGGGTTTAGGGTGTTTAGGTTTAGGGTTTAGGGTTTAGGGTTTAGGGTTTAGGGGTTAATTAGGGTTTAGGGTTTAGGGTTTAGGGTTTAGGGAAGGAGGGGTATATGAACGCATCGAGGGGAATATGCCTACTGTGTCCAGACCCCCGCACCCTGAATCCCAAACCGAAAAAATGCACCCTGAACCCATTCGACTCACGCAAACCGCTCTGTATCAGCTGTCTAGGTTGCTATAGAGTGTTTATGAGCAAGCAGAGCACAAGGACCAGGCAGCATCGATGAGAAGTCCCTGCCATATTCCTAAACCCTAAACCCTAAACCCTAAACCCTAAACCCTAAACCCTAAACCCTAAACCCTAAACCCAGGCTTAGGGTTTGCCATATTCGGGTTTGGGTGTGTGCGGTTGGGGAGTTTAGGCTCAGGGCAGTCACGGGTAGTCTCCTTGCTAAGGGGAAGATTTCAAAGTGTTTATGGGTTTAGGGTTTAGGGTTTAGGGTTTAGGGTTTAGGGTTTAGGGTCTCTCATCATATTCCTTAGCCCTAAGCAATAACACTATACGATCTTGGAGCTCGAAATCTCTCACGAGGAGCTGCCTCATTAATGCGCGGCACAATACACCTGAAAATCCGATCAAACTATTTTAGGTCCCCATGTCCCTGAACCCCAAACCCTAAACTTAAACCCTAAGCCCTAAACCCTAAACCCCAAACCCAAGCCCTAAACCCTTTAAGCCCCAAACCCTAAACCCTAGACCCTGATCCTAAGCCCTCAACCCTAAATCCCCAACCCTAAACCCAAAACCCCAAACCCTACACCCTAAATCCCAAACCCTCAACCCCAAACCCTAAACCCTACACCCTGGTCCTAAGCCCTCAACCCCAAACCCCAGTCCAGCCTCCCATCTCCATCGCCACCGCAAAGACGCAGGGCCTCGCTCCACGGATGATTTTTCGGAGAAGGAGAAGCCTTAAGAGTTTGGGGTTTAGGGTTTAGGGTTTAAGCTTAGGGTTGAGGGTTGAGGGTTGAGGGTTTAAGGCTTAGGGTTTAGGGCTTAGGGCTTCGGGTTTAGGGTCTGAACGCAACACTAGAAGAAGCCGGAAAGGAACCCCTCAACCCTAAACCCTCAACGCCAACCCCTACAGGAGCCCTAGGAAGCCTGAAGAGGAGCCCAACCCCAAAGCCCTCAAACCCTAACAACCCTTTCAAGGGAACTCTCGAATAGAACGGTTTGGGGTTTACGGGCCAACGGTACTTGGAGGTTCATGAGCAGTTATAAGTGGAGTTATAAGTCCCCTAATATGGGTTATAGCTATAGTTACCCTACTTATAACCTCACTTATAACTAACCTTAACCCTAAACCCTTAAAGGAACCCTTACAAGAACACCATAACTCCACTTATAACCTCACTTATAACTACCCATGAACCTCCAAACCCTAAACCCTAAACCCTAAACCCTAAACCCTAAACCCTAAACCCTAAACCCACTTTCATGAAAGCTCCAGCCTCGCCGAAGACCAGGCAGCTGCAGAGACTGCACAGGTGGAGAGATGCCTGGAAGTGTCTGCTGAAGGGGGGGGTTAGGGTTTAGGTTTAGGGTTTAGGGTTTAGGGTTTAGGGTTTAGGGTTTAGGGTTTAGGGTTTAGGGTTTAGGGTTTAGGTGTAAGGGTCTTAAAGTCCTAATTAGAAGAAGTTTCGGGGTACATTATAAGAAAACCATAATAAGGAACCCCCAGAATGGTATAGGTACTTATAAGTTAGCATAGAGGACTTAGACTTTAAGAGGGTTTTGGGGTATATTACACTACAATTGAGGCACCCTAAGAAACACTATTGGCAATGATTCCGCTGCATATTAGTAGCGTTCCAAGTGTTCTTTTCAGGGGGGCCCTTCAGGGGCCCTAAACCCTAAAGCCTAAAGCCTGAACCCTAAACCCTAAAGCCTAAACCCTAAAGCCTAAACCCAAAACTCTAAACCATCCCAAACCCTAAACACTAAACCCAAAACCATCCTAAACCCTAAACCCTAAGCCATCCTCAACCCTCAACCCTAAACCATCCCAAACCCTAAACTCTAAACCCTAAGCCACCCTAAACCCTAAACCAACGCTAAGCTACCCGAAACCCTAAACCCTAAACCCACGGTTTAGGGTTTAGGGCTTAGGGCCTAAACCCTAACCATCCTAAACCCTAAACCCTCTAGGCTTCCTGTAGGAGTAGTTCTAGAGACTTCGGGCCCGGGTGCATACAGGGGGCTCTTAGAAGGGCTCTGTGACGGCTCCATGAAATTCTGATGCGGGTGCTCTGGGAGGTAAGGGTTCTATGATAAAGGTTGCGTTTGGTGGTTGGGGTTTGGGAAACTATCTTCTGGAGGGTTCGGGGCTCAACTAATAGACCCTAGACCCTACTTGGAGGTTCATGGATAGTTACAAGTGGGGTTTTAAGTAGGGTAACTATAATTATAACCATATTAGGGAACTTATAACTTCACTTAGTACTACCCATGAACATCCAAGTAAACCCCAGAACCCTGACCCCTTTCAGGCTTGCGCTCTCAAATCAGGTTTCATTGACTTGGTGAAACAATTGGCAACTTGGGTTGCAGTGTCAACCCAGGCAACCCGGTCTCCCCTTTCAGCTCGATCTGCAACCTCTTGCAAGGAGCCGGAGCTTCGGTATTAAGGTGCTCGGCCAGGCAGTCGGTCAGGCAGATATGCGGGACTTTCGTCCTCGCATTGTGTTCCCAATCGGTTTCGCGTGTATCGTGACCGTAGAGCTCTGCTAGTGCAGCGCGTGTGGCCAGATTTCTACGCGTTTTGCAATGCGTCATCTCCGCTTGGAGCGTCACTAAACCCAGGTGGAACCCTAAACCCTAAACCATAGCACATATTCCTTTTGCGGCTTTTGGGGCTTTGGGTTTAGGGTTTAGAGTTAGGGTTTAGCGGTTTAGGGTTCAGAGGTTTAGGGTTTAGGGTTTATAGGGGTTTATGGGTTTAGGGGTTTAGGGTCTAGGGTTTACGGTTTTAAGGACAACATTTGCAAACAAGAACCTAACGAAACCCGACAACCCAAGAGCGACCATTACAGAAAACCTCATAATACCCATCATCGTAAAAAAGACCTCAGAGTGACCTTACGACACCATAAGGGTTTAGGGTTTAGGGTTTAGGGTTTAGGGCCATCATAGAAGCCTAAACCCTCGACCCTTTTTGCTCAGCCGTTAAACCTCTTGTTGCAGTGACGTAACCCGTGGTGCGCTTTCTTTTTGACTCTTTGACAGCCCCTGTCGCAACCCTTCCAGAACCCCAATACAACCCTAGCCCCAAATCCCTGAAACCCTGAAACCCTAAACCCGATAAACCTTATAAGCGCTATAAACCCTATAAACGCTAAATCCGGAACCCTTAAGACCCTAAACCCTGAACCCTTGAGACCCTAAACCCCGAACCCGTAAGACCCTTGTTGTCTGCAGTTTGCCCTATTTTGGCCACCCCAAAACCGAACCCTAAATTCTTAAAGGCGCCCTTATTATTGTACTTGGAGGTTCATGGGTAGTTATAGGTGAGGTTATAAGTAGGGGAACTATACTTCTAACCCCATACTAGGGGACTTAAAACTCCACTTATATCGACCCATGAACCTCCAAGTATAGTACCCTTACAGCAACCCGTATAGTCCTCTTTAAAGGGCTCCTTTTATACAGGTTCGTTTAGGGGCTCCTTTAAAAGAATCCTAGTTGCAACCCTTGTAGAACCCCTTTATTCAGCTTCCTTCCGGTGCATAATGTGGGGCCATAGCAGTTAGAACAGGGTTTTGGGGGTGGGTTCACCTTGTAATAACGAACCCTAAGGAATAATGCTTGTAAGTACGGCAACAGGAAGGATGGAGATAATCCTTGGATGATGGCCGTCAAGCATACCTACGGCAATAGAGCATATCGGCACCGAATACCCTAAAACCTATAAACCCCTAAACTTCCCTAAACCCTACACCCTAAACCCCCCCAGTAGATCCGTTTTAATGAACCCCAAAACCCCAAACCCCAAGTCCATCACCGGATCGCGCCTGGCCGGCGGAAAGAAAGTGTGAGCAGCGCGCTGCTGCAAAACATCGAACAACTTCACGGAGCCTGCAACAAGCTGGGGTGGGGTGGGGCTTAGGGTTTAGGGTTTAGGGTTTAGGGTTGGGAGGTCCCCCGGCAGCCTGGTG